ACCTAAACACACATTACATTATTGTCCCGTCACGTTGTCACCCTATTTTATATACCAGACTACCCTATATCTAGTAAATACTAGAGCATTCGCCAAGGTACAGGATAGTTCTAGAAAATAGGTGGCGCCACACCAGTCACGTGACCTCGATGACGCAACAGTACATTTTAATTTTGTGTATTTTTCTACGGTAAACAAAACAAGGCAGCTGACACAGTAAAGTTTCATTAGAACTCCTGGTATATTTCACTAATAAGGAATACAGTGTTACAAGTTCTCGTGGAGTTAAGAACACTTACCTTTACAATTAAGTCCTTGATGGATTATCCCGTACAGCAAGGAACCACAGTGGTCACAAAATGTTGGACTTGTGTAGGTGTGCACCAGAAAATGATGTTTCGTTCGAATATCCTGTCAAAAAAAAAGGGTAGAGGGTTTAGTGCACAAGAAAAATGTTGTTATTTTATGTTTGTGAACATTGACTGTTTTGATAAAAATACTAAGCATATGTTTGAAGAAACAAAACTAAACATATATTTTATGTTTGACGAGACAGTTTTCCATTTTAAAGCAAATATCTAACAAAAATGGCACATTTATTCCTTCCATTGTTGTTTCTGTCTACTGAATTTCTATCCAATCATTTGAGTCCCCCTGTTGCTCAGCAATAAGCTTAAAATACACCTGTTCAGTTGTATATTAATGTAGGAAGTTATACACCTGTTCAGTTGTATATTAATGTAGGTAGTTATACACCTGTTCAGTTGTATATTAATGTAAGTAGTTATACACCTGTTCAGTGTATCTTAATGTAGGTAGTTATACACCTGTTCAGTTGTATATTAATGTAGGTAGTTATACACCTGTTCAGTGTATATTAATGTGGGTAGTTATACACCTGTTCAGTTGCATATTAATGTAGGTAATTACACACATGTTCAGTTGTTTATTAATGCGCGTAAAGACAAGAAAGGGATAGAAAAAAAGGGGAAAAAGAATGAATAACAATAATCCATTTTTACTCTTAAGCTACTATTCACATAATAAGGCATATTCATGATGTGTTTATGAGGATATGACACAGAAAAGCAATGTTTAGACGACAGAAAAGCTTTAAAAACTAGGTTATAGCTCGAAGGGAACCAATGTTTAGACGACAGAAAAGCTTTAAAACTAGGTTATAGCTCGAAGGGAACCAATGTTTAGACGACAGAAAAGCTTAAAACTAGATTATAGCTCGAAGAGAAGCAATGTTTAGACGAAGAAAAGCTTTAAAACTAAGTTATAGCTCGAAGGGAACCAATGTTTAGACGATAGAAAAGCTTTAAAACTAGGTTATAGCTCGAAGGGAACCAGTGTTTAGACGACAGAAAAGCTTTAAAAACTAGGTTATAGCTCGAAGAGAACCAGTATTTTGACGACAGAAAAGCTTTAAAAACTAGGTTATAGCTCGAAGAGAACCAATGTTTAGACGAAGAAAAGCTTTAAAAACTAGATTATAGCGCGAAGAGAAGCAATGTTTAGACGACAGAAAAGCCTTAAAACTAGGTTATAGCTCGAAGGGAACCAGTGTTTAGACGACAGAAAAGCTTTAAAAACTAGATTATAGCTCGAAGAGAAGCAATGTTTAGACGACAGAAAAGCTTTAAAACTAGATGACTTACAAGGAAGGCCTAGGAATTCAGATTCAATAAATACATTAGTTTCATAACGTAATTTTGGTGTGGCTTGACAATCACTGTTAGATGACTTACAAGGAAGGCCTAGGAATTCAGATTCAATAAATACATTAGTTTCATAACGTAATTTTGGTGTGGCTTGAGAATCTCTGTTAGATGACTTACAAGGAAGGCCTAGGAATTCAGGTTTACTAGATATATTTGTTTCTTAACGTAATTATAGTGTGCCTCAACTGTCTGTATTCTCTGTGAGGTAGGTTAAAAGGAAAATCAAGGAAGTAAAATTTATAGCAGTAATCTAATTCAAAAACTGTTTCAAAACGTTCCATAAAGAAGATTTAAAAGTGAATATATGAATAACGTTGAAAAATTAAAGTACTTGAATCACTCTATGCCGTTCGTTGCTAAGACTTACAACTATTTTAGGCCTTACATACACTTGTGATTATCTTGACACTGTAAGGAATGCTACTGCAATGGGAAATGTCCTCTTCATGTTGCAACTTTCAGTTAGTAGAATAAGATACCTTGTTTATCTGTTTCCTTGGCGCCTAGGCTCCACGTTGGCGCTGTAAGATTTTATTTCTATTGTTCTGCCAGTCGAGAGACATGAAAGGTTAGCGGGCTTGCTGCTTACTTGTAACATAAGTGAAGTTAGTAGAAGGTTGATATTAACAGGTGTAAGTGCATCTTTAATCTCACCTGAGACTCAGGATGTGGAACATCATTAGCAGAAGCAGAACCACAGGTTTGCATAAATAAATAAATTAGTTCTTACAAGATGAGAAACGTAAAGCTATTCATATTGATTTTTAACATTTCTACAGATGCAGTGGTGAGTTTGAAAGTATCATTTACTGAGGTTTAATAAATACCCTACGTTGCTATCTCCCGCTTCTAAATTAGTTAAACTAATATATTGAATATATGATAATACATAAAATATACTGGTTATTATGGGAGTATCTTAAAGATATGCTAGATAAACTTCTTTCCATTACACTAGTTATTATAGGGATATCGTGAAGATACACCAGATAAACTTCATTTGATGACACTGGTTACTATGGGGATATCTTAGAAGTTATACCAGATAAACTTCATTCCATTACACTAGTTTTTATGGGGATATCTTAAAGATATACCAGATAAACTTCATTCGATGACACTGGTTATTATGGGGATATGGTGAAGATATACAAGATAAACTTCACTCGATGGCACTGGTTACTATGGGGATATGGTGAAGATATACCAGATAAACTTCACTCGATGACATTGGTTATTATGGGGATATGGTGAAGATATACAAGATAAACTTCATTCGATGGCACTGGTTACTATGAGATTATCTTAGAAGATATACTAGATAAACTGTTTGATGACACTGGTTATTATGAAGATATCTTGAAGATATACTAGATAAACTCCGTTTAATCACACTGGTTGCTATGGCAATATCTTGAAGATATACCAGATAAACTTCTTTCGATGACACTGGTTATTATGGTAATATCTTAAAGATATACCAGATAAACTTCATTCGATGACACTGGTTATTATAGGAATATCTTAGAAGGTATACTAGATAATCCTCATTCCATGACACTAGTTATTATGGGGATATCTTAGAAGATATACCAGCTAAACTTCATTCAATGACACTGGTTATTATAGGGATATCTTAAAGATATACTAGATGAACTTCATTCCATTACACTGGTTATTATAGGGATATCTTAAAGATATACTAGATGAACTTCATTCCATTACACTGGTTATTATGGGGATATCGTGAAGATACACCAGATAAACTTCATTCGATGACACTGGTTATTATGGTAATATCTTAAAGATATACCAGATAAACTTCATTCGATGACACTGGTTATTATAGGAATATCTTAGAAGGTATACTAGAGAATCCTCATTCCATGACACTAGTTATTATGGGGATATCTTAAAGATATACCAGATAAACTTCATTCGATGACATTGGTTACGATGGGGATAGCTTAAAAGATATACTGGATAAACTTCATTCCATTACACTGGTTATTATGGGAATATGTTAAAGATATGCTAGATAAACTTCATTACATTACACTAGTTATTATAGGGATATCGTGAAGATACACCAGATAAACTTCATTCGATGACACTGGTTACTATGGGAATATCTTAGAAGTTATACCAGATAAACTTCATTCCATTACACTAGTTTTTATGGGGATATCGTGAAGATACACCAGATAAACTTTTCGATGACACTGGTTACTATGGGGATATCTTAGAAGTTATATCAGATAAACTTCATTCGATGACACTGGTTACTATGGAGATATCTTAAAGACATACTAGGTAAACTTCATTTGATAATACTGGTTACTATGGGGATATCTTAGAAGAATTTGATTCACTTCATATCATAGTACTGGTTTCCATGGAGATATTTTGACAAAGTTACTTGAAAAGATCACCAGTTTCACATGTTTTCTCTCTCTGATAATATGATAATAGTCAACTTTGGAATCCCCTAAAGTTTCTAGAATCTCAACGTGTATCGTTCAAGGAGTTTAGAGTGAACGTAAAGTGAAAGCAACCGCCAGTCTACCAGCAATCTGTTTATTGGACACCATCGAGACTATATTAAGCTATTTGTTGTTTAGCTTTATAAACAGGTTAATAAATATTAGTTGTCAAGCAAATAATTATTATCGTCCTTATATGAAACAAAGAAATTAGTTGAATGAGGTTAGTGATTTTGTTGTCATATAAGTTCTTTGTTTTAGAATCAGTTTTCAAGCCACTCTAATTTTTTTGTTTGTTTTATACTTTTCGGTCAAATCCGCCCCTAATGTTGAACTGATAGACTAGAGAGAAGGCACGTAGTCAACAGCAACCACCGTCGAGTCTGGGGTTACTTCTACCTAACCGAATAGTTGGGTTTAACTGATACTCTTATAGCGTAGCCACTGTGGCAGAGTGTAGAGCGATTTTTGGGCAGCAACGGGGCACGGACCATGAACACTTGAATTCATAGTTTGGACTCACCAACTACTAGGCCACACGAAATAAAGAAGTGGAATAACTTTGAACTACAAATATAAATCTTTTTCCAGTTCAAGTGTTTTCTGGCCTAAACACTGACGAATGTTAATGTAGTAACGTCTTTTAATTACTAATGTTTCAACTATTTAATTTAGATAATTCAGCAGAGACAACTATTTCTAGGACGAGTTACTGGCCATATTGTGATAATCAAACAGGTGAAACCAGAGTTACTGACCATGTTGTGATAATCAAACAGATGAAACCAGAGTTACTGGCCATGTTGTGATAATCCTTAGAGTAGAAAGTAATTAAACCAATCGGTTATTAAAAATGACTGATGAAATATACGATGTATATAAGGACATATTTTCATTCGTGGGGGTTATATTAATCGATTTGTTGAAGATGATGCTTTAAAATCCGGCTACAACAAAAATAGAAAACAAAACATTGGAATCTCAGAAACTTACAAATTTCACGTTGTTACTTGTTCACAGAGTTTGCTACGGAAACGACGAAACAAGTGTTTTGTTTTCTTGCTAAATCAACTTGAATCAGACGTGATTTTAATATAATGATCAAATAATCAAAAGAGCAAACACAGTTGAAACACAAGTTTTGAATACAAGAGAAGCATTTTAGTAAAAACTACTTACATCGGTGTCCACTCCCTTATCTGCTCCCGGACACTTAAAGTTCACGAACACGTGACATCTTTTGTGGACGACGAAGCTACAAACTAAACACAAAATTATGTTACCAAGTGCTTTATTTTCTCTTATACATCAAAAGTTATGTCAAAGAAGTCAGAATCTAAACACAACCTATGTATTTTCTTTTATAGATCCCACGTTATCTTATGAACAACAAAATTTGAACTTAAAAACATCCATGTTATAATACTATTTCTGTTCTCTTATAGATTGTAAGACATTTTATACAGAAGTCATAACCTAAAGCCATGTCACAAAGCTTTTTTTTTTACTTTTACTAAACTAAATTTTCTATTGAGCAACGAAGTCAGAACCTAAACACAGACTGATATTTCGGAACTCTTTCTTTTCCCTAACAAATCTGAAATTAATATACTGAAAACGATGCTGGAAATCAAGCACAAATTTATATTAAAACTGTTTTTAAACTTTCCTTTTCAGACTATTTTATGGAATAAATCTAAGAAGTGTGTGTGTGTCGTTTCATGTTCCAAAATTCGTGGTTTTATGTTATATCAGATTTTATGTTATCAAAACTACTTTTGTTTACAAGTCCTAAGTAAAGTGTTGGTGTTGTTTCTATAACAACACGTCCAAGTTTAAGTAATCTATATGAATTATTTCAGTATGTAAAAACAGTGTGTAGGCTTTCAGTAACATTGAGGAAGTTACGCAATTTTGTGACAGAATTTTTCATGTCTGTTTGGTGTCATGAATTTAATGTTAAAAATACTATAAATGCATAGAAGAGGAAGGGGGAAAAGAATTGCTTTAAACTATAGGTGTTGTACTGTGACATCTGTTAGTTTCTTGACTGTGTTGTTGTTACTTTAGAGGGGATTAACTGCACTTTAGAATGATTTGATATGAAAATGCAGTGAAGTGTTCCCGCGTCGTGGCGCCACCTATATTTTCACGACGAATTCCTCGACTATTTGATAATGTAATAAATGTTGCCCCGGGTAAACATATTGTTGGAAGGATATACAAAGCGTGGTCACAAGTAAATAGACACCACCTTTTCAGAAAAAAAATGAAATTTTTCAGTCATATTCACATGAATTGATATATTTATAATTTAATTAATATCTAGTAGATCTTCCTTTCGCTTTGTGGAGTTCGTTGATCCTTTGGGGCATCGTGAGAGTCATCTCGTTAATTTTAGATTGTGGGATTTTCGGCCCACTCTTGCTTCAAAACTTGGAGTAGATCGCTCTTCGAAGTTGGTTCTTTCGGTTGTTTCTTGACTTGCCGGTCGAGTATGGCCCATAGGTTTTCGATGGGGTTCATGTCAAAAGATTGGCTCGGCCAGGGCAACTTCTGGATACCATTTCCTTCCTGCCACTTTTGGGTGTTTCTAGCAGTGTGACACGGTGCTCCGTCTTCCTGGAACAACGTTGTGTTCTTGTCCACGAAACCCGAGGAATAAAGTGGCAAGAGTCCTTCCTCCAATATTTCGACGTATTTCGCAAAATTTATGTTGCCAACGCACTCCACTAGGCTCGATCTCCCACCAACCCAAACAGCTCCCCAAACCATCACGCTGAAACAACCATGCTTCTCAGTTGGCTGCAATCTGTTGAGCCAAAACTCTTGGTGAGGCATTCTTCAGACCCATATCCTTCTACTGACCGAAAATTGAGCGAATCTTGATTTGTCTGAGAACAGTACGGTCTTCCAAAAGTTCTTTCGTCTGACTATGTTGGCAGGTCTTAATAAGGGCTTCCGTCTAGCTGCTCTGCAACGATAACCCCAATCTGTGGAGAATCCCACCAACTTTGGCCACTTCTGCAGTCGTTAATCTGGGATCCATTTCGATGCTCCTCTTGACAACCCTTTTTGTCCTCTCCGATGTACCAGGACGACCCGGACGCTGCTCAGTTGTTTCCTTGTTGTGTTTCCTGAACTGCACGAGGATTTTGTAGACAGACGAAAGCGGGGTTCCAAAATTCTGCGAAATTTGCCGCTGACTTATTCCACCATCTGCTTGACCAACTATCCTTCCTCTAACAAACTCTGAC